AATAGCGGCTGTAGCGGGCGCTATATCAGGAAGAATAGTGGCTGTAGCAGGCGATATAGCACCGCTATCATTTATGGAGCTACTTAAGTGCTAGTTTTGAGGGAATTTAGGAGTACTTATTACTTTTAGATGTTTTTGGAGTAAGAAATAACCACACTACACCCTCCAAAACACATGCAGGACAAAAAAACATACTAAAATAACTCAAAACAGAAACCAAGATAAAATCTAACCTACATGATATATCTCTATGTTAAGGTAGTTAAAGGCATCCCAACAACAATGATTTTCTTAGAATGAGATATTAATGACTGCAAATTTATGAAGAATTATCTAGAACTTAATTTTTAATGTTAAGAGGTAAGGTACTTAAATAGCGGTAATTTAGTAAGTGTAAATTTCATGATTTATCATTTATCATTTATTGGAGTAATATATTTGTGATTTATCATTTCTTGGAATTGATATGTGCATGACATGTAATTGTATGCATACATATGATATGTGTTTTGAATGTATATTGTCTGAATAGCGGTCATCCTGCTATCCGCTATACCGGTATAGTGTTTTCGGGGTTGGCCGCTCCGCTCCACTTTCCGGGATGGACAACACTGGTGGGTGTGTACATAGATATAAATTTATGACCTGCTTTTGGAATATTTTGTCTTTATGAGTGTATCGAGTAAACCTCACAATGAAGTTTTCTGAGGTCACTACTATGTACGCTTTCAGGATTATCAGGCCTAACTTCAGATCCTCGGTCAGCTATCAGGAAGAGTGCTCTTGAGGTTCTCTTTAATATTTTAAAAGACCATGGCCATCTCTTCTCTCACTCATTTTGGGTTAAAGTTTTCAATTCTGTCATCTTCCCGATATTTAGTTCTGCACATGATAAAACTGAAGCAGACTTAAAAGATCATCAGTTTTCCCCAAGAGCTAGATCTTCACAACTTGATGGACAACTGTGGGACTCCGAGACTTCTGCTGTGGCAGCTCGATGCCTAGCTGATCTGTTCATTAGTTTCTTTGATTTGGGTAGGTCTCAGCTGCCTGGCATAGTGTCGATACTAGTGGGTTTCATAAGAAGTCCTGGTCAGGGTCCTGCAAGCACTGGTGTATCTTCACTAATGCATTTGGCTGGTGAATTGAGACACAGACTTTCAGAAGAGGAGTGGCAAGAGATCTTTCTTGCTTTGCAAGATGCTACTGCTTCTTGCGTGCCCAATTTCTTAAAGCTTCTACAAACCATGGACAGCTTTGATATGCCTGATGGTAGCGTGTCCAATAATTATGTGGAAACATCATATGAAGTTGGGTCGATGAATGACGCTGAGGGTGACAACCTGCAAATGGTTGGGTATGTTGTTTCAAGAGTGAAGGGTCATATAGGAACACAACTACTCATCGTACAGGTATGTTATGTACTATTGTCTCTCTTTATGAATATAAATAGGACTGAAATCCTCGTGTTGCACCCCCTCCCTAAAAAATAAAAATTGGACTAAACCTAACATATTTAGGTCCATTGTTTTTGACTGAATAATACTCATTCACTCTTAAAAGAAGAATTAGTAACTTGTTATTCTTTTTCCAGACTGTGTCTTGCCGTAACCTCTTTTTACTATATGCGTCTGAGCAAATGCTTTGTAACATTCTGTAGCTGGGTCCACTGTTTATTTGAACACATTGTTGCCTCCCACATCAAACCTCTCACTCTTTCCTTTTTATTTTGTTGATCTCAGTTGTGTAATCTTATGATGTCACTAATCATGCTTCCCTTTGTTAGGAAACTCTTGGGCATCTTTTTATATATAAATAAAGTATGTGAGTTGAGTGTGCTGAGAATATGCTGTTCTGTATTTTTTTGTCAATTTGCAGGTAGCTACTGATCTTTGTAAGTTGCATCAGCAGTCACTAAGTGCTAAGACTGTAACGATCCTTCTTGGGATCTATTCATCTATTACTTCTCATGCTCACCAGTTAAATTCTGATGGAGTCCTTAAAGTGAAGCTGAAGAGAGCCTGCTCAATGCTCGAGATCACAGAACCACCATTATTGCACTTTGAAAATGAATCGTACCAGAATTACATCAACTTTTTGCATGATTTGCTTGTTAGTGATCCAACATTGGGAAAAGAGAAGGATCTAGAACCTGAACTTGTATCTATATGCGAGAGAGTCCTGCGTGTATACTTGGGTTGTGCCGGTGTACACCAGCAACAACCAGTCGTCAACAAGCAGCAGCAGCAGCAGCTGAAGCTGCACTGGATTCTTCCCCTAGGCTCAGCCAGGAAGGAAGAACTAGCTGCCAGGACTCCCTTAGTTCTTTCTGTATTACATATATTGAATGCTTTTGAAGGTGAGAGTTTCAAGAAGTATGCATCGCAGCTGTTTCCGTTACTGGTAGATCTTGTCCGGAGTGAGCATAGTTCTGGAGAAGTTCAGCAACTTCTAAGTGGCGTCTTCCGGTCATGCATAGGCCCATTAATAGTGAAGATGTGAAATTTTCATTTTTGTAAATTATTATCACTTAGCCTGAGGGTGAGGAACATCTTTATATAGAATACTGAAGTTTTGTTTATTGATGTTAGGCCTCATAATCTTGCTATCTATTTACCAAAAAGAAAATAACAATCACTTCTCAGAATAAACATCAGTTAACGACCTCTTTAAACAAAAATGTTCCGTATCTTTTTTATTTCACGTTTACATGCACTTGCAGTCTTGCACCTTGCAAATTGCAATGGTTTGAGCTTAAGTGAAGAATTGTCCTTTGTTTGAGGAAGTTGTATTTTTGTTGTTGAAGAAAATCAATTCAATTCGCATTCGTTGAATCAAAGTTCAGTACATCAACAATACCATCACAAGGAAAAGACAGTCAAATTTGGCAATTACACAAAGAACCCGATAGCGCTATCAGCCCAGATCATCCACGAGAGAATATGAGACTTGTGAATTTAGAACCCATATCTCTAATATCTCTTGATTTGTAGAATGGCTCAACTTTAATTATATGTATAATTGACAAAAATTCTTATTCTTTAAAAAAAAAACTCAAACCTAGAGATGCATACAAGTTTATATGTTATTATTTTAAATTACATTTCAATTATACTTAAAGTTATTACATATTCTTCATTACGTTTTTTTTGAAAGAATTCTTCATTAGGATAAAAAACTTAACTATGACATTTATTTGTAGGGTTTTGGTGAGAATTCCTTCTAAAATGAGAACCCTTTTTGAAATAGAGAAATTTTAATCGTCATCATTCATTTTTAGAATCAATGGATAATAATGACAAGATAACATTTTTGTAATTATTTAGCATTAATTGCAAAAAGGCCCCATTTGAATTTGGGTAATTATGCATATGACCCCATGTAAATCATCATCAATGATTACAATAAATGAAAGGATGAGATTAAAAATTCTCATTATAATGAGTTCTCATTTTAGAAGGGATTCTAACTAGAACTCTTCCCTATTTCTAATTTCTAAATCATATATACTACTGTTGGATAATTGATACCCATATTGTATAAACAGGAGAGATTGAACAAGAGTGGAGAAGGAATAAAGAAAGTGTATAGAATGAATGAAAATCCAGGTATGGGCCTCTAATACGGGCCTGACAGACCCAGTTACATAAATGGACTGATAGTATAAAAAGCTAATCTAGAACATCTGAATAATAATAATAATAATAATAATAATAATAATAATAATAATAATAATAATAATAATAATAATAATAATAATAATAATAATAATAATAATAATAATAATAATAATAATAATAATAGTAATAATAATAATAATAATAATGTACAATAATATTAATGATATCTGCTAAACGTGTGTAGGCCGCTGTCCAGGCCCAGTAGTCGGCATACCGGGGGTCGGAGTCCATATAATCCATCAACTACGTATAAAGGAGAATGATCCCGCGGTTGCATCTATTAGAGGGATTTTTGGGTGAAATTTTTAAAGAATTTTTGTGAGCATATTCTTTATGAATGTCCACAAGATTTCAGCTTAAAATTCAATCGGAGAGTCAGTTAAAATATAGTTCTAAAAAATGTTGTGCTTTATTTTCCTAATTGAATTTTAAGTAGAAATTTTATGGACATAATCTATATTTAATGAAGAGCATGTTCAAAACATTTTATCAAAAAAGTCTACATGGGAACACCTCAAATGGAGGTGGCTGCACGCATACAATGTCAAGCCAGTCTGACAGGATCATTGTCCTATATGATATACTCCCTTTATTTCATTCAAAGTTTCTCATTTTCCTTTTATGAATGTCTTGGCTAATGATTCTCATTTTCTATTTTAGGAAATAATTAACACTCTTAAATTATAATTTAATCATTAAATATTAAAAATAATACATCTATAACATCACATTTACCATCAACAACTCATTATATTATATACTCATCAAAACTATTTCTCAAAATATACTACAATGCGTATATTTAATTATTATCTGAACAATCATGACATTTTACATTGAGAACTCTTGAACAATATTTATGAGCACATATTACAATATTTATCTTAAGTAGGGATAAGTGCACTATATAATATTATGAGTTCAATAGGTGTACACAAAATTTATATACGCTTTGACTCACATTTGTACACAAAAATTTCTTTTACGAACTGCATGTGCAATTAAGGGTGTATACATTATCTATGTGCATGTACAATTTCCTACAAATCTTTGTCATATAAATTTGGTGTACAAATGTGATTTTGTTTGTGTTACTTCGTATTAAACGAACAAGATGAAAATACAAGATGTAAGAACTCAGAAGCTGGGAGATAATCTAATTATACGGAGTATATGTTTGAATCTGATTCTTAAAACTGTTTCTATTCCTTCAAAAAGCAGAAGTGGAAGTTAGAGTGTTTGGATAAAAGTGTAAAAGTGATTCTGATGCTCTAATTTAGTACTGGAATCATTTTTTTTTAAGTTGGGAGAGACTATTTTGTAAACTGATTATTGACAGTGCTTCTAATTCTGAGTTCCAAACTCTTGCACTGTAGTAGGAGTATAGTCCTTGTGATCATCCAGTGCAGCAGCAGGGAATCAGATGAATCGTGGAAAGCATTCTCAGTGTCGTCTTCCCCTCCGTCGAAATGATTCTGCTCAATTCTACTTTCTCCGTCTGCTCTCGGTGCTTTTGCTGATCTGCACGGTGGCAGCTAGTGGATATTCACAGGCTGCGGAAGCTGAAATCATATCGAGGTTCCAGGAGTACCTCCGAATCGACACAGCCCAGCCGAATCCTCGCTACAGAGAGGCGGCGGATTTCATCATCTCCCAGGCCAACTCCCTGTCCCTCGAATCTCAGACCATTGAATTCGTCAAGGGAAAGCCTGTTGTCCTCCTCAAATGGCCTGGTAAGGACCCGAACATCCCCTCTGTCCTTCTCAATTCCCACACTGACGTTGTCCCTTCCGAGCCTCACAAATGGTCCTTCCCTCCTTTTGGCGCCCAACTTGATCTCGCCACCGGAAATATCTATGCCAGGGGCTCCCAGGACATGAAGTGCGTTGGTCTCCAGTACCTGGAAGCTATTCGCAGCCTCAAGGCCTCTGGGTTCCGGCCAACCCGTTCTGTGTACCTTTCCTTTGTCCCTGATGAGGAAATTGGTGGCCACGACGGTGCCGAGAAATTTGTAAATTCCGATATCTTTCAGGAGATGAACGTTGGGGTTGTGCTGGACGAGGGATTGGCTTCCCCCACGGAAAACTACCGTGTCTTCTATGGTGAGAGGTCTCCTTGGTGGCTGGTTATCAAGGCAGTTGGTGCCCCTGGACACGGTGCCAAGCTCTATGATAATACTGCTATGGAGAATCTTTTTAAGAGTATTGAAAGCATAAGGAGGTTCAGGGCTTCTCAGTTTGACTTGGTCAAGGCTGGCATGAAGGCTGAAGGAGAGGTCATTTCTGTCAATATGGTGTTCTTGAAAGCTGGCACCCCTTCCCCCACTGTAAGTCCTCACTGGCCTTTGCATCAGCAGGAAGCCGCCCTGATTTTTGAAACTTACTTAGCCACCTTCTGTTTATTTTGGTGTCATATAGCTTTTTGTATCTCCATGAGTCATCTAGAAACAGGTCTCTCCCTGCTTTAGTACAGGGGTAAGGCCGCGTACATCCCACCCCCTTACCCAACGTAGGTGGGGAGTCTTTGCGACACTGGGGTGATGATAATGATACCTTTTTCTGTATCTGCTCATCTACTGGGTGGTTGTCAGGTGTTGCAGTATACGTAAATTTTAATGGATCCATGTAGAATGTAAGCCCTGCTCAAGTTTCATGTACTGTTTCCTCAGATGCGCAGAACAATTCCAAGTCCTAAGAGGCTGACTTTGTTCAGTTTGTCTATGCAGTTGTTCTCTAGTTATGATCTTCTAATTTTCTTTTGTTTTATTTCCCTCACAGAGCTCGATATCAATTATATATGGGGATTTTAGAATTTTTATTTGGAAAAGGCATCCATCAATTGGCCTAATTTGCGACTGCCACACCATTAGTTCATTGTTTCACATGATGGTTCTAAAGATAACCAAGTCCACAGCATACTAGGCACCCATACATTTATTGCTGATTGTGTGGTTTATTTTTTCTTCTCAGGGTTTTGTCATGAACTTACAGCCATCCGAAGCCGAAGCAGGTTTTGATGTTCGAGTTCCACCAACTGCTGATCAAGCCTCATTGGAGAGACGAATTTCTGAGGAATGGGCACCTGCTTCACGCAACATGACCTTTGAGGTAACATAGAAGTTAGGTAACATTATCAATGCACACCCTTGAGGTGCGCACTGGTAATGTTTGAAGTTCAGAAGTTGTAGGCCTTCTTTCACATATGGTTTATTGTACTTTGTTTGCTATGTTGGAATAAAATTTGAATTGAATAGTGATTCAGTTACCACCCTCCTGTTTGTGTATCTCGTTTCAACCAGTGGGAGCCTTAGGTTTACTGATACATGCCATAACCCAATTTTCTTATACTGCTTAAAAGTTAAAACTCTGTTATCCATACGCTTTAGTGAAAAGTCGTGCATCAGTGTCATACAGATGAAGAAAATAATGCTTTCAAAAATTGCAATTCTTCTTATCATTGTTGTAATTTTGACAGTTCAAGGTGAAGACATCCATACATGATAAGTTTGGGAAACCAGCACTCACAGCTACAGACAGTTCTAATGTTTGGTGGGCCTTATTAGAGGAAGCTGTCAAGGATGCAAATGAGAAACTGGGAAAGCCAGAAATATTTCCTGCCTCTACAGATGCACGCTGCTTTAGAGATCGTGGCATTCCAGCCATTGGATTTTCTCCCATGGCAAATACTCCTATTCTCCTTCACGACCACAATGAGGTTGGCACTTTAGCTTCCATATTCTCTTTCACTTGACACGCTTATTAGTTATTAGGAAGAGTAGAAATCAAATATTAGAGTGAAGTTAAATATTAATGAAAAGGCCCCCCTCTGAAATCCTTTGATTAAACATCTCAAAGTGGAGTGCAAAATCAAATATTGGGGTAAATAACTAATTCATGGGTGAGAAATCTTACTAAAAGAACCAGTTGAAAACTACAAATGTCTTTGGCCTGGCCCTCTCCCTAAGATTAATTGAAGTATTATCTATATGTAATACTAGTAAATAAATATGATAAATATTTATATATGCATGTATCATAAAATTAAACATAATCCTGTAGTATAGTATACATAAAGAAAAAACTACATGTGGAGTAATTAGATACAACAACAACATCCAAGCCTTAATCCCAAATGTGGAGTAATTAGATAAAAGAGTTAAATTATAAACTTTTTATAAATTTCAAATCATGTCATGTTTAGCAACACAAAATGACTCAGATATTAAGTTAATAACTAACATTATTCAATGAGCAATTAGTTGTATTACATTTTTTTTATTTAATACGCCCTCATCCCTCAATGATGCATATTAAATTATTAATGGATTTATTCTTCATTAGCGTACTTGATTTCTGTATATTTAATCAGATAGTAATATGCCTAGTGAAGCGAGGGTTGACTTAGGTCTGGGCTTGATCCTGTCTTTATAGTGCAGGGCCTGGAACTTCCATTTTAGAGGCTGAGCCCTAAATAGGTAAGGCTGGGCCCTTGGTAACCACTACCGGATGGCTGCTTCATATGACATGCCTGGGCTGTTTCCATTGGGTCAGTTCTTATCAGTCAAACCACTAGTTCTAATGAATTTGTTTGGACTGGGTCTAGGACTCTAGGCAAACCCCACCCGGCTACCCTTATTTCATTTTTAGTGGAACTACTAGCCTTCACATGAGAGAAATAAACACTCAATTTGACTAGCGTATTTTATTTTCTGGGGTTTTCTTCATTTGTAATTTGTGGTGTATTTTGTTATTCTTCAGTTTTTGAACAAGGATGAATATTTGAAAGGCATTGGTGTTTACAAGTCAATAATCAAAGCTTATGCTTCTTTTGTTGAGCACATGCGAGATGATATATCCAAAGCAGAGTTATGAGGGATACAGCTTGCCTCCGTCCTATGTACAGGATTTCATTAAAGTGCGTCCCAAGTGGAAAAGTGGGCATATGTTGCAACAAATGACTGACTGATTGACTGTTCGGTTACTACTTCCACTTGCACTTTTTCAACACCTTTCCATTTGATTCCAATCACAGAATAGACAAGTCACTACTTGCCATCCTTTTGTTGTAAACTATACATAAAAAAACTGCGATATGTTTGGATTGACATCCATTTTTTTTTGTGTGTCCAAAAAGCGCATAGTACCTCTGGGGCCTACAAGAGAATGAGTGAAAGTGGCAATGAACTTAACTATTGGTCCGTTCTTTGGCTAAACTTATGCTGTGTGTACTTTTTTATACTTATCTTAATGGGACTGGATGGATGTTTCAAGCCCCTTGTTCCTCTTGGATGTCATAATCCCAAATCAGGCTTAAGAAGAAATGTAAATGAGTTGCTTTGAATGACGTGAAAGCTAAGTTATTATCATGAGACTGGCTGTTGAATATCCGATAGCTTCAACGTCTTCGGATCCTGCTTATTACTGCATGAGTCTCATATTCATTCCCAGAATCCGGTAGTGGAAGGGAAGTAATCGGAAATGCTACTTAAAGAGTCACGCCCTGGGAATTTGTTATAATCCGCCCACATCTGCCCTGCAGCAGCAGGAGGGGTAAATGACATGAAAGAAGTCAAGTACCTGGCTGGCCCCTGCAGTAGGGCATACGTATTTGCCTTGATCTTCTGACCATTAAGACTTCATTAAGTTGTCTTTGTGTAAACACGTTTCATTTGTGTATTGAATAAACACTTCGAGTTGGGTAAAATAACTGAATTTGACTGAATAGACATTGAAAACAATGCTGTAACATAAAAGGGTAGATGCATAGTTATGAGGGCCATGGTGGTGAAAACACTAGAGTTATGTGCAAAATGTTGTGTAAAAGTTAGTAAGAAATATTCTGGCAGTCGGGAGGATTAAAATCTAGAAATATCGAACATAGTTTGTTGGATGTAATGAACGGCTCAGATAAAGATGTATTTGGTATAGGAATAGGAACGGTTCAAAATTTTGAGAATATGAACTCACACATTTAGAAAGACACTGAGCCGCTTTGGGGAAAGCTATGGCATATTACAACAAAGTCTTGAGCTAATCGCTTTTATAGGTGAGATAGAAACGATGGAAATGTCGAGTCTTTGCTTTTATAAGGAATTATATGACTCCAACAATATATGAATAGAAAGACACTTAGTTACTCCTTATACCTATCCTTATACTCACGCTGAGAGAGGTCATTTTTTATCTGTGAATCCCGTTCACAGACAAAACAGACATGATTTTGCATGTGAACATTTTTATATACAAAAACATGTTTGTTTTTCTGTGAACAAAATTCACAGACAAAAAAAACAATTTATCACAGAGGTGAGTATATGGGTGAGTACAAATAGCAATGTTGATATGACTATGGAGTATGTCTGTGATGCATATGGCTTCATTGTGGCCGCTTATTTTTAGTGAATTAAAAACTATCAACTTTATAAAAAGTGAGTAGATACAATGAAGTCAACTAAAGTTATATGACTATATCGGATTCATATAGAACTCCGTAAATATTTTGATTTTATAGGTGGAACAAGTCTTTGATTCGTTGATACAAAGCAATGTGGCAAGATGTGAATCGAGCAGTTCATAACAATCAAGTAGGGTATTGAAAATCAAACATCACATTGTGTAACATTAAATGTGACATTTATTTTTAACATTAAGTTAGAAATCACGCACAAAAAATTAGCAAGGGGAATAACGTAAGACGTCATTCTTCATATGAATATATGATCTTCTGTTGACTTCATTACATCACGTGATGTAATGAAGCGTGTTGAAGTTCCAAAGCGTGATGTAATCAAGCTTTGGAAAAAATTACCATGAGATTCATTCAATTACAGAGGCTCAGGTTGATAAAGCATTGGAAAAAATTACCATGAGATCCATTCAATTACATGTTAAAATGTAAATTTTATTTTCACAGCTTTGATTTAAAAACGCCATGTAAATCTCGAGGGTGACCAGATCTCGTTTCAAAATCTCGAATTTGCTCGAGGGTGGCCAGATCTCGCTTCGGGTTAGAAATAAATCATTTGGTGGTCTAGCTCATAGAGCACCATATGTAAGATTCCGTCCATGATTTACCCGCAAGATCAAGCTGATAAGCATAAGAAATGTAGTCAAGGGGTCACCTGGGCATCACAATGAGGGACTTCCAGTTTTGAAGAGTAGGGTTTGCATGGAAGGAAACGTGTCGTCTGGTTTCACATTGTTGAACATCCGAGGATTTCCGCTGATCAGAATCGGCCGGTTTCCTATGATTGTAAATTGTATGATGACCAGCTTTCCTCATGTATTATGCCTTGGTAATATACTAATACTGGCCATGGCCTTGTTGATCTCAGCAAACAAGCGTCCTTGACCCCAATCAAGGCAGAAACAGACATTTTGATATCTGACTCTAGAATCTTGATCCTTAATGTCAACGTTGTGACACTGTTTTCATAGTTTCTGTGATGCTAGGCTTGGTATATCATCATTGAACATAGTAAACAAAGATCCTTTTAAAAAACATAGCATTGCAATTTGCAACTCAAATTACAGAAGCATAATAAATAAATTATTAAAGATGGATCAGTTAACTAATTAAGCAACTATACAAGTTCAATAAGCCAGAAATAAATTACAAACTGAATCTATACTACTCAAAAAGCTAAAGAAAACCTGTCAACTACAGTAACCGACCAAATTCAAGGCATACCACACGCAAAAAAACATAAGGATATGTACTTGTCAATCTAATCTCTCAAGGATAAAGGGAAAACTTAAAAATAATAATGAAGGGAAAATTGGCAGGGGGCTTCTGTTATGGAGCTGTAATCTGGCTGGGAGACAAAAGGATGCATGTGTTCTAAAAAACTTAGACGAGAACCTTCCCCGGCCCTCCCACAGTAGTACGCCCGTCACTGCTTGTAAACCAATCATGGTCTGATTAAAGGAAACTCGCAATTGAAGCCCGAGGAGAATGTACTGCACCTTCCCTCCCCATAACCAGTAATCCAGATGATGGAAGCAAGCAGAAACCGATCAAGCTGCCAGCAGCACATGGTATGGCAGGGCAAGGGCAGGTCCCTCCATTTGGCCTCTCCACTCTCAGATCAAAACAGTAGCAACTTCTGCTGGAGTTACTCCGAAGCCCACAAAGGTTAACAGAAACCTCTTCAAAGGCATATATCGTTATGACACTCTGTCATGGTGTCGAGCAAGATTATCCTCTTCAATGCGCTGCAACAACTCCTCGTACACTTTCAAGCAGCTTGCAGTAAATCTCTCCATGGCCTCAAAGATATGCTGAAGACCAGCCTGAAGGCTACTGTTTTTGCTTGTTTCGCTCTGGTAAATGGCACGCGTGTTCAATGAGAGGGTATTTTCCTCTGCTGATACTAATATCCTTTTTTCTAATGCCTGCATCTCTCTATGTATCTTCTGATCCTCCCTTTCAAGGTTCTTTATCTTTTTTTCCATTTTTTTGTTGTCCATCATTCTATTGCGCATTTGTAGCTTATCTTTTTCCCACAGTTGAAGGATGTTTGTGGCAAAATCTCGCATGCTGTCTACGACTTCTTGCTCAGAAACCCTTTCAAATGATTGAGCCCAGTGATTACAGATAACGAACACAGGGGGAGCACCTATCCTACCAGGAGAGAATGGAACTGGTCCATCATCTGTTTCTTCAGGAACGTAAAGGAGACATTTCATAAGCCAATTATTCAGCGCTCTGATATAACCTCTTTGGGCACTTACCCAACAAGAGAATCTTAAAGTCCAGTTAAGAAGATCGTGCTCAAGGTGCAAAGTGGCTTCAAGATGAGCATCACTAAACTGTTTGTTAAGTGCAATGGAATCTAATCGTTTTGCTTCCATAATCGCATGGTACTGAATCTGATGGCACTCAAGCATGGATTTCCACATTCTTGATAACCTACAGATTTTAAAAATATTACACAACCATTAAAATGCTTAAAGGAATAAATTACTTTATAAACTCGGGCTACATGCCTACATACAATAAATTATAAATCCCGTTGTACAAAACTTTAACCTAACCCGATGTGCATGCCCGTGTGTGTGTGTGCACCGAATACAAAACGAGGTTGTTATAAAATGACAACAGAAACTACCATGAGAGTGAATGAGACCATGGCAAATAACCATGTTAGTTCAAATGAATAAAATATAGACTCCCCAATTAGATCTGAACACGAGCTAAAAAAACATAATGGCGGTATGAAAACTACATACCCATGTATGAAGTCATTCAATTGTGGCCACAATTCTTCATCCCTCAATTTACTTATCTTCTCAGAAATCTTATCAACAATTTGAATTGCAATTCTGATTTTTGTTGAAAGGCTCCTAACTAAAGTTCTTGTGACATCAACTTTTTGAGTCTCGGCACCCTTTTCACTTAGTTGCTTCAACCTTAAACTTTTCCTCTCATGAAGGACCCTCATTTTCTCCTCAACCTGCAAACAGGAGGTTCCTTTAGTATGTAGTGAAAAGAGGTAGAATAGAATGACAGCAAAAAACGTGATATGCATGCTGCATTTGAGCATCCAGCAACAGCAGCAACAACCAATCCCCAATCCCAAATCACTGGGGTCAATGACATGAACCAACACAAAATATCCCATGGTCATTCACTTAAGTCCTATGGAATGCCCCCACCTCCACCATCAAGAAATCCGCATTGCAGTTCATGTTAATACACAGGATATTGACTGAATTTATGCTGGTCATCAACACTCCTACTTTTTTGAGCTTGGGATCAACAATGAGCCCGAGGTAAAATTACAAGCTAAAAACTGCTCCATTAGAATGAACCCAAAGAACCAATGATCACATTTCACAAACTACTGCCACATTAAGTTTTTTTATTTTGAAAAAAAACCATGGAAACAAACTACGGACTATTAATCAAACTAGGATCTGTGAATGGAAGATTTTAAGAATATTTACATGCAGTATGAAATAACATTAATTAGGTAAAGTACCTTGACTTCTTCATAGAGTTTCTTCTCCCAAAGATAAAGCTTTTGCAAGGTAGAAGAAAGACTTCTGGGCCTTAAAGAACTCACTTCCCCTTCTACATCTAATAAAGCAGGATCAGAGATATCACCCTCTGCGCCATCTGAAGTAGAAGGTTTTGACGATAACACGGACAAGGAAGGAGTAAACGCATGCAACATCTTGTAAGAAGCTGTCCCGAAATAGGCCCATCAATTAAAAAACAACATTAGAAACATTTACAATTACCAGGAACTTAGAAGTTAGAACCAACAAATTGTACAGTTCACTGAAATTAATCGCAGGTGAGAGAATTTTTTATCCATAAAGATGAGAGCTTTCGTGAAGTGACATAAAGAATTAGAAACTCAACAGATTAATACTCCGTAAGACATAAACAAAAAAGGAAATATCTCTACCTTGATAGGCAGCGTGCTTGCGGTTGTAGGGAAGCTTTCCAACCTCAAGAATCTTCGACATTTCGCTGCCAGATTCAGATGCTCGTTGGAATTGAATCTGAATCTCACCCATGACATCGGAGTCTCCATTGAATCTGCCACGAGCCTTGAACCCTTCCCTTGCACTGTCGCGATTCTCTGATGTCCCTTCCTCCTTAACCACTTTCTTATCCACCACATGCACCTCATATTCAACCGGATCAGATACGTTCGGTCCAGGTCCCCTGTAAACCGACTCCGAGTCACTTGGCTTGTCATTCTTCTTCTTTGAGGAGGCGGCAGCCTTCTCGGATTTGCTTCCGCCGGGCCTTCTACCGCCACCACCACCCATGAAATTGTGATCTACTTGGACTTTCTTCACAACCTCGTGCTCAGAATCATCATCTTCTTCTAATTCGGGAATCCCCTCCTCTTCCCTGACATCCTTAGAATTCCTGCTTGGCGAGAAAGGACGGTGGAAATTATCAAAACTCTCAAAAGGGTTCAAAAAATCCCAAGCTGAGCCAGTCGGGGGAGGTGGAGGGGGTGGAGCTTGCTTGGAAGTGGATGGCGCAGATGATGGCCCCCACGCCTGGTAACCCGGCTGAGATGTTGAATTTGAGCTTCGCCCTGGCTGCGAGGAACCAAAGAAACTAGCAGCAGCAGTAGTAGCATAACTGAAGAAAGACTGGTTGGGGCTGGAATTGGGATTGGGGTTAGGGTTGTAATAGGGGTAGTAGGAAGAAGTGAGGTCATCCATACGCACAGTATCGGCACTCATCGGCCGTTGCTGATAGGTCACCGACGGCGTGGACTGGTTCCGCATGAAATTCATGTGCGTAAACGTGCCGGAAGTCGAAGCTTGAGGGGAATGAGCATAGGGTGTGCTCGGATCCTCATAGGAATGACCCGGCGGGGGGGATTCCGATTGGTGGTGTAAAGAGGGCGAGTGGGAGGAATCTTCGTCCTCATCTGAATCGGAGTGGATGCAAAGGTGTGACCCGGAGCTGGAGTGGTGGTGATAAACATCGGCGGCGTGTTGTTTCTTGCCGGCTTTGTGAACCGGGGAGGTGGGTCCGTCGTCGTCGTCGTCGGCAGCTGCAGGGGAGGAATGATCGTCGAGATCCAGACTGAAGAGACGGTGCAGAGAGGCGCCGACAGACTGAAGAGAGTGAACATAAGCTACGTGAGCCTCGGCCATGGCGAAGCGCTGGTGGATGGTCTCGTCGAGAAAGGAGCACCGGTCCCGGCAAAGGGACACCGCCGGCAAGTCATCGAGCTTCGAGCTGGTGCAACCCATATCTTTTCTTTCACTATAGTAAATAAATAATCATCATAATCTTTTTCATAATAAGAGAGAATAATAATTCAGTAGCAATTTTGAATTTTTACTCCGCAGAGAACTCCAGAATCTGGAAAATGAAAGAAAATATTCCGTTGACGAGAAGAGAGGAGGAGATTGGCAAAACGGAAATTAGGACGGAATGAAAGACGCGTGCGGTCGATTTATTTTACTCTTCGGTCAAATCAAATTCCTTAGATATTCCTTTCATACGGTTAAGGAGTCTATTTCATAATTAATTAATTAATCAAACACCTAAATTTTAATTTTGTAAGCTCAATAGTGTAACCATCAAAATCAGTAATAACGCTTAAACGCATTTTTTTCATAGTTCAGTAAATTTAGAATATTCAAGTATTGCAGCCAAAAATTTGTCAATTTTAAGTGATTCTGCGTCAAACATCTTTGTAATTCGATGATATCATTGTAACATTCCTAAGAAGAAAATCACAAGTTCGAAAAACGTCTCAATCAAGAATATTGATATTTAATATAACAGATACTATGAGAAAAGAGTACAAAAAAATACAACAAGGCTTAAGGTACACGTTTTTGTACACATACTTACACATTCGTGTGTGTGAAGTGTTTTGTTTTGTCTGTATACAGACACAACTCATTTCACAGACACTTCAAATGTGTTGTGTCTGTATACAGACAAAAAAAAACACTTCACAGACACGAGTATGTAAGTGTGTGTATAAAAAATGTGTAACAATAGTTATTTCCAAAATATATATATTCAGCTGATTCAACTAATTTTCAGTATTACCAAATGGCTTCTAAAATATATTCACATACGAAGTATATCACATGCGTACAATTAGAGAATTTTCCTCCAAAAATATAACTCATTCAACTTTTATGCTATAAATTGGATAAAATAAGTCATATTTTAAATAAGACACAAATAATTTTATTTGTGTTATACAATTTCTCTATATTTTAGTCATATTTGAAACAATTTCTTAACACAATTATGAATCAACCTCTCTTGCATAATGTTAGGTCAAAATGGCCTCCACATGAAGTGACAAAGTATAGATAGAATTAATTTTAATAATTTTTTGCTATTTCGTTGACTGGCTATGTAAAAATGATGAAGTATACATCAACTTTGCAAAATAAAAATGTTTTTTAAAGGAAAAGACTTATTTATTTTTAATAATGAGAGTAATAAGAGACAAAACAAAACAATGTTCAAGACTACATTGAGGTGAGATATATAGAATTTATTAGCTGATGAGGATCTGTCAAATTCGCTAATATATCTTATAATGGAAGACTATTCTAACACTTGCTACAAATTGAATTTTAAATTGAAGTCAGGTTTATGACAAAAAAAATGTCAGGTTTGAATTCACACTATTAAGGGAGTGTTTGCAATAGCTTAAAAAAAGCACTTCTCAACTTTTGGCTTAAAAAGCACTTATTTACCACACACTTCCAATATTTACTTTTTCTCGGCTTGCGTGTGAAAAGTGATTTTCCCTTTTCTATTACACAAAAAGCACTTATTTTACCAAACACTATCAACTTTTACTTTTCAAAATCACTTTTTTCTCAAACACTATCAACTTTTACTACTAATCATTTTTTCATTACATCTCCAAAAGTACTTTTTTTAAGCAGAAGCAGTTGCAAACACTCCCTAAAGCACTTTGAATTCAACGGAAAGTATCAATTGCAACCCTATATATGTCAAAAATACATACGGAGTATGTATTTTAAAGTGTCAATTCAAACTAAGGTTTATATTAAAGGTTGATATACTTTTTGAACTATTTTAACTTACAAATTTTGGCTTCAAATGGTGCTCTCAAAAATGAAAATTGTATGAGTTTAAAAAAGCTAATTAGAGCGGAAGGAAGAATGAAATGAAATAGTTTCATAAAATAAACTACGAGCCTTTTGTAGCATTATTTTTCCTGGGAAAATTGCTTGCAAATTTAAAGTAAATAAATAATGATTGTAGCATTACTTTTCTTTTTGCTAGAGAAAGCTGGTTATCCAAAAGATCTACTAATTTTCAAAAAAAAAAAGATCTACTAATTTGAGAAAAACGATTTACTAAATATAATTTTATAAATAATTTTAATGTCCTTAATAATAAATAAAAGTGGAATAAGTTGTACCTGATCAATGAAAATAATTTTATCTTTTTAAAAGAAATGAACCTTCAAGATTACAATTTTCTTTTTCATCACTCAACATGAACTCTAGAGTCAGCTAGTAAAAATAAGGAAAACAATCAAAACAACATTCAATTTGAACCAAAAGTAAATATAAGAACAAGATAATTAAAATAAAGGGATAAGGGTCAGATAGGGCCTCGAATTTGAAAAAAAAATGTCAAATAAGGTCATATTTAGGATGCTCTGTCCGGCCGACGCCATTTGGGGTGGTTCCCGGTGGAATTTTTTGATGATTTTTTTTTGAGAATCTTATTCATTAAGTCTAGTTTACTCATATCAAATTTGAACTAAAACTTCAACCGGGAAGGTATTCAAATGAATTCTTGAAGATAACTGTGCAGTTAAAAGCACAGTTATCTTCAAAAATTCATTTGAATGCCTTCCTGATTGAATTGTTAGTTTAAATTTGATATGAGTAAACTAGACTTAATGAATAAGATTCTCAAAAAAATTCATCAAAAAATTCCACCGGGAACCACCCCAAATGGCGTCAGCCGGACAGAGCATCCTAAATATGGCCTTATTTGACATTTTTTTCAAGTTCGAGGCCCTATCTGACCCTTATCCCTAAAATAAATCCAAACTTGAAATAGCATCTTACAAACCCTAACCAAAAGATTACTTCACGGTGGCGGTTCTGGAGGAGAACAGACTGACAATAGTGGATCTTCTTACTCTCCTTTTTTCTTATTCATAACACTCTCTGCTACTGAGCAATCGAAAGTGCAGGAGAATCTGCCGTGTAGCCAAGTGTCGTACTGGTTAAAATGGACTCCGTGATTTCTTCTTGCCATGTTGATTGAGCTTTAAAGACGAACCTGCGAACAAAAACAAAGTTTGCACGATGCGCGAAGCTGAATTTCTCTACCCACACAAGCCTAGAATGGTTGGGTGAAACTAAACCCTATGTGAGGGAAAGGCCACACAAACGAAGATAACTTCCGCTCTCTACTTTAGAGTTCCCAAGAAAAATATCATCAAATTATATCTTTTAAATAAGAGTAAAAGCAATTGAACAATAGAAGTTTTGTATTTTTTCTCAAAATAATTGAAAATTCAAAATAACACTAGTTACTTTTAATAAGATACTAGTTTTCAAAAAATATTGTTGCATAAGAGACCATTTGATAACACTAGAATTGTCTAAATTAATTAAAATTGGTTAAAATTAACGGTTGAATTGACATAATCTGGTTGATTACTGAAACATCATATTAAAAATGTGTTCTATCAATAAATTAAAGAAAAAATATTAGAAAAACAGTTAAAATGATAATAACTTTGGCTAGAAAAATAACTTCCACCTTGTTTATGTTTTATATTACGTACTTCAACTTGCGAAATAAAAAATCATATATCTGACAAAAAGAGTTAGCCGATAAGTCTGATAAGTTGAAAGTAAAGAATTTTGATGATATGTTTGACACAATTAGTTGAAAAGATACTTTCATGAGTTCTTTAGTACTACATAATTGTTACGAGTAGCTTTTAGTGACTGGAAAGATATTAAAAGATAAGGACCGTTTGATTTAATTTTGTTTGGTATACAAGCTTTTGAGACAAACTAATGCTAAAAGCTACAAATATTTATAAGATGTTACTGACGGTAGCATTTAAGAAAAATCTTTTATTCTTTAAATAGTTGTTAAAAGTTGATATAGCATACCCACAACTAGGAGCTTTTACAGATTTTTTTTAAATACAGAAAATTCCTGAAATAGGAGTAAAATGTTTGAATATGCCAAAATAGAACTCTCGTGTTTTTATTTTCAAAATAGAAGTAAGTACTGTCAACTTTGAAAAATACTGTCATGTTTTTAAAGTCTAGTACTGCCAAAGCATGACAATAATCAATCATCTTTTAAGAATAAAAACATGATAAATTCTATTTGGAAATATACAACACATTTGGTCTTATTTAAGACAATTTCCCTTTTAAACAGTACTCATATAAAAGAGAATCTAAAGCAGTTAATTAATGGACGATAAAATTCAAATATTCTTATTAGATTCACTTGTTTGTAATTGCTCCCTTTTTCTTTTTTCAACCGTCTCATTAAATTTAGGGAAAAGGGTCAAATAGGTTATCGAACCTTCATAAAAAGGTCAAATAAGTTCTTATATAGGAGACTCTGTATTGCCGTCGCCATTTGGGGCGGTTCTCGGTGAAATTTTTTGATGAAATTTTTTGAGCATCTTATTCATTAAGTCTAGTTTACTCATATCAAATTTCAGCTAAAACTTCAATCGGAACGTATTCAAATTAATATCACATTTATTAAATTTATATACCATTCCATAGTATTTTTGTGCATCTAATTCATTTTTATGTATACCTTATCAATTCATTATCAATTACTTATATCCACTTTTTAGAAAAAACATAACACACTTGATGTGATGATGATGATGGTAGGAGTAGGATAGAGAAACGATGGTGGAAAGCGAGTGAAGTAGGGGCAAAGGGAGAAAGACAGAGACGGAATCTTTGCCAGCCCGGAATTTGTACCTTGTGGACATCAAATAAATAAAAAATTAAATACATGTGTGGAGCGTCCAGTCAGCCAGTGTCAGTCTATGCGCGTTAACAAATCGTCGTTATATTATTCTGGGACCTATTATTACCCCTATCATTTATTCCTCAAATCTTTTTCATTATTACCCACCATTTGTAACAGTAATAATTTCAGCACAGAAATAAAGTAAAGTAGTAGTATATCCTCTTGTTTTTACGTCTTTATTTTCATTCTATATGCCATAAAAGAGGGAGGATCTACGATTCCAAACCTCTTTGCCTTTTCCCCCGTCTCAACTTATAACACATTTACACAGATTTTACTTACTTTTTAAGCACTTTTTGACTCGTTAAATTTGTATAGCACTAAGGTTGGTCTGATTTTTTTGGGAAAAAGTTAAATAGACCATCGAATTTACATAAAAAAAGGTCAAATAACCTCTTATATAGGAATCTTTGTCCGGTCGTCGCCATTTGAGGTAGTTTTTGGTGTAATTTTTTGATGAAATTTGTTTAGAATCTTATTCATTAAATCTAGTTAACTCATACCAAATTTCAGCTAACAATTCAATCCAGAAGGCATCAAATGAATTCTTGAAGATAGCTGCGCAGTTATCTGTCAAAAATTCATTTGAATGTCTTCCCGATTGAAATATTAGCTGAAATTTGGTATGAGTAAACTAGACTTAATGAATAAGATATTCAAAAGATTTCATCAAAAAATCTCACCGGGAACCGCCCCAAATAGTCACGGATGGACAGAGCCTCTTATATAAGAGTTTATTTGACCTTTTTATGTAAGTTTGATGGTCTATCTGACTCTTATCCCTTTTTTAATAACATTTTAGTCTTTTATCCGTTTCTAAATCTAAAAAATGATAAAAAGGATATAAAATGTTCGGAATTGTCTGATATATTCTCTCTATCTTCATTGGTGATGAATGATGATGACACAATGTGAAAGCTATGTACTCAAGTATATAGGACATGCTGTCATTATATTCACCTTTTTTGCAAAAAACATAAACCCCCAATAATTTTAGTAAGCTCAAGTCTTTGAATGAGTGCACTTTTGTACACCCTCACTAAGGAGGGTGGTGTTCACCTCCTTTGCTCTATGGTTACCAACTTACCATGTGGCATTTCATCTCATTTTTTTCCTTAAAATGTTATATCTTTTTTATTTATATTTTACTTTTTGTAAAAAAAAATATCAAGATTTTTTAGTTTTTTATGATCTTTCCAATGATATCAATTTTGTATATATAATATGTAACACCGGACCCGAATTTTACCCAGATAATTAAAATTTTTTCGTAAACTACTTGGTTAAAGAAGGTAAATCAAGACTAAGAGTAGTCTTGATAAATGAGAAAGTTAAAATTTTGTCCTAAATTAATAAAGGGTTATTAATTTAGACATGGGACCACACGTGGTATTTCAAGTTTATAAAATATTACTATTTTCCAAAACGATACTATTATTATGATAGTAGGAATGGGTCGTGGACCCCATTGTTATAAAGAGCGACAACTGGACGGCCGAACGGGCCAGGGCCACTATTCGATAGTGGGGAGTCCTTAATTATCGGACTATCAATAATTCGTAGGACTACGAATTTATAACAGAAGAAATATAAATATTCTAAGAAACCAAAATAATGGGATGAATAATATTGATTAACTTGGTATATTAAAGGAGGGTACTTTTGGAGGACCCTGCCTTAAAGATATTTTATTTTGGGAACAAACAGATAAGATTTTATCTGTTTTTACATTTGGGATCATTTAAAAAGATGTGTAACATTTTATTAAAATGTCACAAAATATCAATACACATATTGAGTCATGAGAAATTGCTAATGAATTTACGAGATGACGTGTTCTCATTTTTACTGATACTTGAACGGTAAATTGCACGTTGGGCCTACACTAGGAGCGGGGACCATCCGATATTTACGGACCACATATTATATTCATCTTGGTCTAGATAATATTTATATGATGGTGTAAATTAATGTTGAGCCATAAAGTTGGCTTTTCGATCAAGCGAGGTCCCATTGCCGGTATAGGTAATTAAATAGATAACAACCCGAAATTTATTTCGGCGACCACGAAATTAAAGTGGGGTAATATATATTCATTCTAGAGGCCAATATTGATTGGAAGAATGATATATATTTTATTTGACCCGATAAAATGAAATTTAATTAAAACAGTCCGAAAAGTACAACTTTTGGTACCGATTGTACACTTTTGGGACATAAAGGGATGACCTCCCACATGGGTGGGGGCCACCCCACGACTTATGGTCTCAAATAAGTGAGGAGGACCATGTTGGAGAGCTGGAAATGAATTGAGATGATGGGGGGATTAATCAAGTCATCAAATGAACTTCTCCCCCACACCATTCACACATGAGAGACAACAAGGACATCTCACTCACCCACCCTCCTATTATTTCGGCCCTAGCATCAAGTAGGGAGGAAAGGAGTCTCAAAAACATCATCTCCACCAGCTCTACTCGAGCTAAGAACAAGGGGAAAGAAGGAAGCAAGAAGAGAGGAGGCTGCCAACCAGTTCGTACAATTTCAACCCTCGAGATTGTTCACTTCATATCTCACGCATCTCTTATCCAATAAGCTCGAGTAAGGTGTCATTAGATAGGTCTTGAAGAGAGCTTTCATACGAGGTGCTGCACTTAAGGATACGAGGTGTTTACAGCTCAAAAAGGGCAGATAAACACACGAGGTATAAATCTGGATTCTCAAAACAGTTTGTATTTGGTTTCTAGTTATTACCCAAAATTGTTTATAAACCCTATTAACGAATAAAGTGGATATCCTACACGATTATAAGTGTAGTATAAGACCTTAATATAGTAATTTAATCATCCAAAGGGTTGGCTAATAACCATGAACGGAGTTATGACCGGAGTAAGACCGGTTCACCGGAAAACACCTTCTCGGAAGGTTTTGATGTTTATACCACTTTTGGTTTATGAAACCTTGTTAGGTCTTTTACCAAGATATTATAGACTTCTCGAGGAATCTAGGAGTGGCCGGAAAAGTCGCCGGAGCCGCCGGAGTTTTCGCCGGAAAATTCAAAAGTCGCCGGAGTTCGAACAAAGAAGATAAAAGCTTGCTAGCGTCATTTCAAGGTGAGTGGACGACTACGTGTCTTGTAACTCTTGGTTCAAACGTGGGATTACCTAAATAAAATCATAACCATGATTTGAGAAATGATGAAATGGATTAAAATGCATGATTAGTCATGGTGTATATGACTAATGAAAAAAAATAGATTAATTTATTAATTAATCATCAGTACGTAGTATATATTTCTTAATGCATAAGAGGATATACTTGAACCATGTATGAGATAAGCTCGAATAATCTAGTAAGTGAATATAAAAGGGTTGTAAAGTTGTGATTATCCATATTAAATATGGATTATGGAAGTGTTATATGATAAATAAAAAAATAGATTAATTTATTAATTAATCATGAGTATATTTTTCTTAAATGAATAAGAAGGTATACTTGAACCGTGTATGTGATTAACTAGAGTTATCTAGTAAAGGAATATAAAAAGATATGTGATATGTGAGTAGTCATATAAATTATGGATTATGGAAATATGGCATAATTAATGATTAATCAATTAATGGTATGAATAAAAGGTTGTAAGAAAGGATCATGAGCCATGATTTGGGCTTGGGCATGAGATTACTCAAATAAAACAGAATGATATTCCATGAAATGTTAAATACATCTAAGAATGTATTAAGGAAAGATTTACTTATTAATAGTATTAATAAGTGTATTTAATATGCTTTAATTTGGACAGAAAATGATTATAAATTATGTGTGATGATTTGGACGTCCAAAGTAATATTTTTGGACTAAGAATGACTTGTTGCATAAGCGTATAAAATTTCGTGGAAATCGGACCCCGTTTGGATGGTCAAACGGGCGTTGACCAAAATGTTGACCGGTTGCCCAGGGGGTAACCGGCGCCGGTTATAGGCAAAACCGGCGCCGGTTATGGTTCGGTTTACTACAAAAAATCAGTAAACCGGCGCCGGTTATGGGTAAAACCGGCGCCGGTTATGTCTCGGCTTTCAGGACTGATTTTTGCTAAAAACCCAAATCGGACCCGGTTCGACGTGGGATAAATTCTAGCCATCCTATATATGAATATTTTGCATGGAATTGCATGAAATATGATGTTTAAAATGATAAGCTTTGGAATACGGTTTAAACGCTAAGACTTGGACTAGTCGTTAGTAAAGAAATTATAGACCACGACTGGGCGAGGTACGTGGTAGATTATACATGGCGGGTGAATACCCGGGACCAAGTAAAGTTAAGTAATACTCTGTAGGACCAGGAGGAGTCCTCTACACTCAAACGTTAACAAGGGCTCGTGTAGTCCTTGAGGTGTGTTAACCTCTAGTAAATTACACATAGGTAACAAGGGCAAGTGCAGTCCTTGAGGTGAGTTAACCTCCATCAAAGTGCATATAGGTAAAGGGCAAATGCAGTCCTTGAGGTGTGTTTAACCTCCATCAAATTGCATATAGGTAACAAGGGCAAATGCAGTCCTTGAGGTGTGTTAACCTCCATCAAAGTGCATATAGGTAACAAGGGCAAGTGTAGTCCTTGAGGTGTGTTTAACCTCCATCAAATTACACATAGGTAACAAGGGCCCGTGTAGTCCTTGAGGTGTGTTAACCTCCAGTAAATTACACATAGGATGAGGGTGTATGCGTACTCCTCAAGGCGGGGTTATCCCAGAAATGAAAACTATGATAGCAAGGACGGGTAGTCCTCGCGGTAGGTGAACATCAAGGTAATGATGTTAAATGATTAAACGTGCTTGATCGGGAACGAGTTTCCGATATGATATTTTCCTTGGTCTAGGAATTGATTTAAACCACGTCCGTGATATGGGAGTCTGAATGGACCCACAGTAATTATATTTTGATATCGGGTGAGTTAGCCTGCGGGTGACTCCACTCGAGGGTGAGATACGGGAAGGGTGAATTTAATGAGGCTGTCACGCCTAAATGATTTGAAGGACAAATGGGCCCACGGGCCAGATATTTTACTCATATGTATATATGTATACATTTTGTTTTGAAAAGGGGTAGCTGAGTTATGCCCATAATTATAGTATCACCCTATTTTGAGGGTCTCACGTGAGAAACGTTAGTTACATTACATACAGTTTGCCCTCACCAGTACTTTTCTGTAGTACTCGATGGATAGTCTACCCGGGGGGTATCTTATCCGAGGGGTTATTGCAGGAATAACTAGAGAGAAGTCAGAGCGAAATAGGAGGAGAGAGAGTCGATTTATTAAATGAACTCAGCGTGTGGAGTTGAGGTGTAGATGATGTCCATTACAAGGAGAAATGGGCTGCTATTTATAGCAGCAATAAATGCGATGAGAGTACACGTGTCAGTAATCCAACGGCCGAAGGGTCACATCAGCCTGGTGGCACCGGCAGTGGTACGTTCACCGCATTAAATGCGGTTGGCGGATGTGACGTGGCATTAAATGCGGTGGTCGGCTGTCCCCAAAAGGAATCTTCGATGATTGAGCATGCTTGGCCGAAGGCTTCTTGTGTAGCCGAGGGCTCCGTGTAACCAAGGACCCCTGTGTAGCCGAAGGCCCGAGTGGCAGAGGGCTAAGTTCAGCCGAAGGCTCCCCTGATGCCGAGGGCTTGGTAATGCCGAAGGCTCATGTTTTTCGCCGTTTTCTCCCAGTGGCTTCGTATGTCAGAGAGGGCTACTTCGTGAGATTTAGAGCCTTCGGCCAAGGAGGCCGAAGGCACCCCAGTGCGTATTCTGGGCTACGTTGAGGCTTGGGCCGCTGCATTTTGGGCCTGAGTTGTTCCCTGGGCCAAATGAACTTGTGTAGGAGAAGTAGGAGTCTATGGGCCGGGGGTTCCTGGGCCATATACTCCATCAGTACTGATCCCTCGGGGGAACCACCCTTTCAGGTTGAAGCTAGAGCTTACTTCCTGCACCCGTTGCTCGGGAGATCGATGGAGAGAAGACGTGGTTCGTGCTTCCTCTGGTTCTATTTCTAAATAATTAAATAATGCTCATGGAACTATTTTGACTTATAAATTAATGGAGCCTGCGAGCTCTTGTTTTACCCTTGTGTGGGTTCTTATTAAACACTTATATTCCGCGATGTGTTTAATTGTATGTTGATGTTGTTATGTATGTTTACTAATCGGTTTTGGCATATGTATCTAACAGACGTCTTGTGCAATTCGGTAAGGATGAACTGCGGTTATCCTTATTGGGTTGTACGACGGTTGTCCACGTGGCACAGACGCGGTCTGGGGCGTGACAATTAAGTGGTATCAGAGCCATACGATTTCTAAACTATATAGTCAACATCTCAACAAAGTTTCTATTATAACAGTTTTTCAATGAAAACCATGAGCATAAGTTTTGTACTTTAAGAGCATTTGGTTATCGAGTTGCAAGGTCTTTGGTTGTTAAGACGGGCCCCTTAACAATTGGTATGGCAGTGACTTGAGCCAAGTTGTGTCTTGAGTACGTTTCTGTCAATTGACATTCAAACGAGTCCAAAGACTCATTCCAACATATTCTTTCAGGAATGGGTGGTAGTGATAGGGCGGTTCGAGGAAATCCGAGAGGGCGCGCACCGGGGATAGCCGGGCAAGCCAATCGGGGGATATCAATGTCGCGTAAGAGGCGAGGTATGGGCAATCAAGGCCCACGAACACGAGCCGCGATGGCTGATCACAATGTGACTGAATTCGAGGCGTGGGACTCGGAGGATGACTCAACTTATCACCCTGAAAGCGAGTCAGATGAAACTTCTTTTGAAGAAAACAGTGGGGAGGATATACATAGTATTCCTCCTGACCAGGTTAGTGAAATGTACCGATGGTACCAACGTGAAAGGGGAAGACAACGACAGGGATCTCAGGAGGGACATGTCAGAGGCGAGACTTCTCTCAGGAGGGGTCGGGGTGCTCACAGAGCACAAGTTAGGACAGTCAGGGATTCTGATGGTGAAGGACCACTCTTTAAAATCTCAAAGTATCTCAAAGAGGCTAGAGCCTTGGGGTGCAAACCATTTGATGGGACGGAGGACATATCGGAAGCAGCCGAGTGGATAAAAAGGTTGAATGATGCAGCTAATGACATGCAGGTGGTCTCTGAACGAAAGTTAAGGGTTGCCACTAGATTATTGGAGGGTTTAGCTTCTACTTGGTGGGAAGGCACCAAGGGTAAGTTTGACGGGGTTGTCACGTGGGACAACTTCGAGCAAGCATTCTATGAGCAGTTTTACACCTCTTTCGAAGTAAATCGAAAGAGGAGGGAATATATCGATCTCAAACAGGGAAATGAGTTTACGGTGAAGCAACTGGAACAAAGATTCCGACATCTGGCAAGGTTCTTGCCTGAATATGCCGCAAATGAGAATCGAATGGCAAACCATTTTTGGAATGCACTCAATTTGGAAATACGCGAAAGGGCGACCTACCAATTCAACATGACTTTCAGTCAGGTAGTAGCTCAGGGTCTCCAGGGGGAGGAGCTTTGGAAGGAAAGGCAAACAAGGGATGCAAAGGAAGCAGAAGAAAGAGCCCAGGTGATCATTCACCCTCCACGACGAGAGGGGAAGTATGAACTTCAGAGCAAGGGGAACTCTAACAAGTTAGTTCCGTTTTTCAGTAAGAGCCAGGACTTGGTAAGTCAAAGCTCAAGCACTCGGGGCATGGGGGCACCCAAATGTGAGAATTGTAGGCGAAGGCACTATGGGAGATGTCGAGAGCCATCTAGATGTTACTTTTGTGGAGAAACAGGCCACATCAAGGTCCTTTGTCCTCAACGTGCGCGTGAAGGAACATCAGGAGCTAGAGGAGGGGTCACGGGGGTTGAAAACCCAACTAGGGTTGCCTCAAACATGGTACCTTCTACAAGTCAATGGCGAACTCGCTCGTGAAGGCCGGGAATGGCGGAAGCCATTTGTTAGGCTCGACTTTGGCACAAGGTATTATTAAATTAAACCTTAATTTCCATAAATATTTTTATTTTCAAAATTGTTAGCTTCAGATAATGAAGGGAGAAATGTTTCTCAAGGTTCAAGCGTTAATTTCGGGGACGAAATTCCTGTAAGGGGGGGTGAACTTGTAACACCGGACCCGAATTTTACCCAGATAATTAAAATTTTTTCGTAAACTACTTGGTTAAAGAAGGTAAATCAAGACTAAGAGTAGTCTTGATAAATGAGAAAGTTAAAATTTTGTCCTAAATTAATAAAGGGTTATTAATTTAGACATGGGACCACACGTGGTATTTCAAGTTTATAAAATATTACTATTTTCCAAAACGATACTATTATTATGATAGTAGGAATGGGTCGTGGACCCCATTGTTATAAAGAGCGACAACTGGACGGCCGAACGGGCCAGGGCCACTATTCGATAGTGGGGAGTCCTTAATTATCGGACTATCAATAATTCGTAGGACTACGAATTTATAACAGAAGAAATATAAATATTCTAAGAAACCAAAATAATGGGATGAATAATATTGATTAACTTGGTATATTAAAGGAGGGTACTTTTGGAGGACCCTGCCTTAAAGATATTTTATTTTGGGAACAAACAGATAAGATTTTATCTGTTTTTACATTTGGGATCATTTAAAAAGATGTGTAACATTTTATTAAAATGTCACAAAATATCAATACACATATTGAGTCATGAGAAATTGCTAATGAATTTACGAGATGACGTGTTCTCATTTTTACTGATACTTGAACGGTAAATTGCACGTTGGGCCTACACTAGGAGCGGGGACCATCCGATATTTACGGACCACATATTATATTCATCTTGGTCTAGATAATATTTATATGATGGTGTAAATTAATGTTGAGCCATAAAGTTGGCTTTTCGATCAAGCGAGGTCCCATTGCCGGTATAGGTAATTAAACAGATAACAACCCGAAATTTATTTCGGCGACCACGAAATTAAAGTGGGGTAATATATATTCATTCTAGAGGCCAATATTGATTGGAAGAATGATATATATTTTATTTGACCCGATAAAATGAAATTTAATTAAAACAGTCCGAAAAGTACAACTTTTGGTACCGATTGTACACTTTTGGGACATAAAGGGATGACCTCCCACATGGGTGGGGGCCACCCCACGACTTATGGTCTCAAATAAGTGAGGAGGACCATGTTGGAGAGCTGGAAATGAATTGAGATGATGGGGGGATTAATCAAGTCATCAAATGAACTTCTCCCCCACACCATTCACACATGAGAGACAACAAGGACATCTCACTCACCCACCCTCCTATTATTTCGGCCCTAGCATCAAGTAGGGAGGAAAGGAGTCTCAAAAACATCATCTCCACCAGCTCTACTCGAGCTAAGAACAAGGGGAAAGAAGGAAGCAAGAAGAGAGGAGGCTGCCAACCAGTTCGTACAATTTCAACCCTCGAGATTGTTCACTTCATATCTCACGCATCTCTTATCCAATAAGCTCGAGTAAGGTGTCATTAGATAGGTCTTGAAGAGAGCTTTCATACGAGGTGCTGCACTTAAGGATACGAGGTGTTTACAGCTCAAAAAGGGCAGATAAACACACGAGGTATAAATCTGGATTCTCAAAACAGTTTGTATTTGGTTTCTAGTTATTACCCAAAATTGTTTATAAACCCTATTAACGAATAAAGTGGATATCCTACACGATTATAAGTGTAGTATAAGACCTTAATATAGTAATTTAATCATCCAAAGGGTTGGCTAATAACCATGAACGGAGTTATGACCGGAGTAAGACCGGTTCACCGGAAAACACCTTCTCGGAAGGTTTTGATGTTTATACCACTTTTGGTTTATGAAACCTTGTTAGGTCTTTTACCAAGATATTATAGACTTCTCAAGGAATCTAGGAGTGGCCGGAAAAGTCGCCGGAGCCGCCGGAGTTTTCGCCGGAAAATTCAAAAGTCGCCGGAGTTCGAACAAAGAAGATAAAAGCTTGCTAGCGTCATTTCAAGGTGAGTGGACGACTACGTGTCTTGTAACTCTTGGTTCAAACGTGGGATTACCTAAATAAAATCATAACCATGATTTGAGAAATGATGAAATGGATTAAAATGCATGATTAGTCATGGTGTATATGACTAATGAAAAAAAATAGATTAATTTATTAATTAATCATTAGTACGTAGTATATATTTCTTAATGCATAAGAGGATATACTTGAACCATGTATGAGATAAGCTCGAATAATCTAGTAAGTGAATATAAAAGGGTTGTAAAGTTGTGATTATCCATATTAAATATGGATTATGGAAGTGTTATATGATAAATAAAAAAATAGATTAATTTATTAATTAATCATGAGTATATTTTTCTTAAATGAATAAGAAGGTATACTTGAACCGTGTATGTGATTAACTAGAGTTATCTAGTAAAGGAATATAAAAAGATATGTGATATGTGAGTAGTCATATAAATTATGGATTATGGAAATATGGCATAATTAATGATTAATCAATTAATGGTATGAATAAAAGGTTGTAAGAAAGGATCATGAGCCATGATTTGGGCTTGGGCATGAGATTACTCAAATAAAACAGAATGATATTCCATGAAATGTTAAATACATCTAAGAATGTATTAAGGAAAGATTTACTTATTAATAGTATTAATAAGTGTATTTAATATGCTTTAATTTGGACAGAAAATGATTATAAATTATGTGTGATGATTTGGACGTCCAAAGTAATATTTTTGGACTAAGAATGACTTGTTGCATAAGCGTATAAAATTTCGTGGAAATCGGACCCCGTTTGGATGGTCAAACGGGCGTTGACCAAAATGTTGACCGGTTGCCCAGGGGGTAACCGGCGCCGGTTATAGGCAAAACCGGCGCCGGTTATGGTTCGGTTTACTACAAAAAATCAGTAAACCGGCGCCGGTTATGGGTAAAACCGGCGCCGGTTATGTCTCGGCTTTCAGGACTGATTTTTGCTAAAAACCCAAATCGGACCCGATTCGACGTGGGATAAATTCTAGCCATCCTATATATGAATATTTTGCATGGAATTGCATGAAATATGATGTTTAAAATGATAAGCTTTGGAATACGGTTTAAACGCTAAGACTTGGACTAGTCGTTAGTAAAGAAATTATAGACCACGACTGGGCGAGGTACGTGGTAGATTATACATGGCGGGTGAATACCCGGGACCAAGTAAAGTTAAGTAATACTCTGTAGGACCAGGAGGAGTCCTCTACACTCAAACGTTAACAAGGGCTCGTGTAGTCCTTGAGGTGTGTTAACCTCTAGTAAATTACACATAGGTAACAAGGGCAAGTGCAGTCCTTGAGGTGAGTTAACCTCCATCAAAGTGCATATAGGTAAAGGGCAAATGCAGTCCTTGAGGTGTGTTTAACCTCCATCAAATTGCATATAGGTAACAAGGGCAAATGCAGTCCTTGAGGTGTGTTAACCTCCATCAAAGTGCATATAGGTAACAAGGGCAAGTGTAGTCCTTGAGGTGTGTTTAACCTCCATCAAATTACACATAGGTAACAAGGGCCCGTGTAGTCCTTGAGGTGTGTTAACCTCCAGTAAATTACACATAGGATGAGGGTGTATGCGTACTCCTCAAGGCGGGGTTATCCCAGAAATGAAAACTATGATAGCAAGGACGGGTAGTCCTCGCGGTAGGTGAACATCAAGGTAATGATGTTAAATGATTAAACGTGCTTGATCGGGAACGAGTTTCCGATATGATATTTTCCTTGGTCTAGGAATTGATTTAAACCACGTCCGTGATATGGGAGTCTGAATGGACCCACAGTAATTATATTTTGATATCGGGTGAGTTAGCCTGCGGGTGACTCCACTCGAGGGTGAGATACGGGAAGGGTGAATTTAATGAGGCTGTCACGCCTAAATGATTTGAAGGACAAATGGGCCCACGGGCCAGATATTTTACTCATATGTATATATGTATACATTTTGTTTTGAAAAGGGGTAGCTGAGTTATGCCCATAATTATAGTATCACCCTATTTTGAGGGTCTCACGTGAGAAACGTTAGTTACATTACATACAGTTTGCCCTCACCAGTACTTTTCTGTAGTACTGATCCCTCGGGGGAACCACCCTTTCAGGTTGAAGCTAGAGCTTACTTCCTGCACCCGTTGCTCGGGAGATCGATGGAGAGAAGACGTGGTTCGTGCTTCCTCTGGTTCTATTTCTAAATAATTAAATAATGCTCATGGAACTATTTTGACTTATAAATTAATGGAGCCTGCGAGCTCTTGTTTTACCCTTGTGTGGGTTCTTATTAAACACTTATATTCCGCGATGTGTTTAATTGTATGTTGATGTTGTTATGTATGTTTACTAATCGGTTTTGGCATATGTATCTAACAGACGTCTTGTGCAATTCGGTAAGGATGAACTGCGGTTATCCTTATTGGGTTGTACGACGGTTGTCCACGTGGCACAGACGCGGTCTGGGGCGTGACATAATAATTTAAAAAAAACATTTCTTTCTAAAATATATATTTTTAGTTGATTTTTTTTTTAAATTTTTTATATTCAATATTAGTACCATATGAAAGATCGTAAAAAAAGAAAAAAATTTATATTTTTTTTTTAAAAATGGATTAAAAAAGAAAAAGATAAAACAATTGCGAAATTGTGAAATATTGCCTTGCCACATGACAGACAAATAGGGGTGGGGGTGAACATAACCCTCTGAAATGAGGGTGAACAAAATTGTTCTCCTTTCAATCTCACTCTAACCGTGGGTAGCATATTTAACTTGAACAGTCTAGGTGAGATCTTAATCTAAAATAAAGGTTTTGTTTTTTGTTTCTTCTATCTATTTTTATCTCCAAAAATAGGTTTATTTTCCAGTTAAGAAAATAATTACTAGTATTTTTTTTATTGTTCGTTTGTTTCTATGTCCGCTAAAGTACAAGACTAAATGGTTTTTACCTCTTCTATAAATGTATACTCGATATTTTTGAAAGTATAACATACGGAAAAATACAACAATCGTGACCTTTTACTGTCAAGTCGCATGTTTTCTTTTGGTCTATCTTCTGTCTCAGACACACCAGATTAAACCAAACCAGATTTAAACAACTCAAATGAGATTTAAGCAAATCAGACTTGAACAGTTATAAAATACACAAAGACTAGACATTTAATATACCAAATCAAATCAAACCAAATTAGATGGGACTTAAACAGACCAAACTAACCCAGACCTAAACAAATCAGACCAGACAAGACTAGACTAACAAATTTCAGTCTAAAAAAAACATCATAATACCTGTAAATTTCAGTCGTACTCATGTAGGTAGGTTTTTACGAATATTACTTTTTTGCATAAAAAAATAAACCCATCTAAAAAAACTCATGTATAGACATTCATATTTTTTCAATATTTTTATGATCAACTTTTAAATTGAATGTGTTAACAACTTAACATAGTCTAAACAGCACTATGTTACTCCCTCCGTAACATATATATGTTCCCATTTGAAAAGTAGGTAGATTAAGAATAGTGAAAGGGGATATAAATTATTGAGGGTATGATGGAAAGATAATGAAATAATGTGTTGGAATGAATGATAAATCCAAAAAAAGTAGGTGTAATAGTGTATTATTTTTAAAATTATTGATGGTATGATTGGAAGATTATGAAATGGGAAGATATAAATGTTACATCCAAAAAAGGAAAGTGGGAAGATATAAATGTTACGGAGAGAGTATTTATTTCTAGAAAACAACTCTCATATACAGGAACTTTATATGCGATTTTTATGTTTTAGATATAGATGTAACGATGCTTATCCTTTTGTATAGTTTTTCAAAATTTCATACTTATTTGGAACACGTAATTCCACATATCATGCCAAATAAATAAAGACGAGGACTAGTGTTGTATACTCCGTATATTTAGTCATTTCACTCGTTTGAATATATGAAATTTTCAATATGAAGGGCTATTAAAGATAGATATAGAACATTTTAAGTCAAAAGGCCAGACGGCCAGTGATGCATGTTTTGTTGGCTAGATAACCAGTTTGATAGATGATTCTCATTGCGAGTTAGAATGGCTTTTAACTGGAATGAAGTTTTTAATGTGATTTGATCTGTTTAAGTTTGATCTTGTTTGATCTAAACTGATCAAGTCTGCTAGATGCCTATCCATGTGCATTTTATAATTGTTGAAATCTAATCAAGTCCGTTTAAGTTAGATCTAATATGATTTGGTTAGGGCTGGACTCGGGCCGGTTCGGGCCCGGTTTGGGCCTGGGCCCGGCCGGGCCTCGGGCCAGGAAAGGGAGGCCCGAGCCCGAACCGCCGGTGGCCGGTTCCGGTCCCGGTTCCGGGCCAAACCGGGCCGGGCCGGGCCGAACCGGCCCAATAATTTTTTTTTTTGTTCTCCTATTTAATCCCCTACCCCTCCCCCTCAACCCCAAACCATCCCAAACCACCTCAAATGGCCCAACATACCTAATCCAACCTAAAACTTAAAAAAATTTCAAAAAAAAAAAAAAAATTAAAATCCGGCCCGGACCGGGCCCGAACCGGCCGGGCCGGTTCACCAAAACCTGGGCCCGGGCCCGAACCGCCCAGCAGCCGGGCCGGGCCGAACCGAACCGAGGGACCCACCGGGCCCCGGGCCGGGCCGGGCCAAACAGTAACCGGGCCGGGCCGGTTCCGGGCCGGGCCGCCCGGCCCGAGTCCAGCACTAGATTTGGTAAGTCTGATCTAATTTGTTTAAATCTGATCCGATCGTGACAAAAATAAGTCTAAGCAAAAACATTCTTAACCCACGAGATGAATAGTTTTCTTACTACTCTGTATGTAAATTCTAAATACAGGGTATGAAATACCAGTTCATGCAAGTTGACATTTCCTAAATTGTTAAATGCGTAGATGTGTAATAAACAAAACTAATGAATTTGAATGTTTTCCCTAATTAAAGTGGTTAATACCAAGTGCAAAAATTAACTTTTCAGAATTTTGTGCCCTGCATGTTGGCCTTTAGGGGACCGGAAACCAGCCAGTCCTGTCCACCCCCATACTGACCACACAAAGTTGAGGATTGAATTCAATACAACATAACTGCACACAGCAAACATATACACATACATAACACACGAATTAAATATACACAGTTTTAAATTGACATCTCACTCCATGATACATCTACATCAGTTTTTCTATAGCACATGTGTTTGGACCTTTTTAGCTTGCATGCATGGCCCCGGGCCCTGGAGTTAACGATCAGGTAAACCGCTGGTGGCCTTCATGGAATTCGAACTATCGACCTCCAGTTGTGAATCGTTTGAAGCTAGTCAGCCGCTACTTCCATTTCATCATCGCTCTCATCAAGTTCATCATAATCGTGCATGTACATAAGATCATCAGATGAATCCCACTGGTCAAAACCCAGCTCCTCCCCACGACAAGCCACATGCAAGTATGGTCTGTTTCGGGCCAAGGCGTCCAGCATATCCTTGTTTCCACCTCCATTGACTCCCAACCATCTCAGTCTAGGGAAGTAAGGCTTCTTTAGCCACTGGAAGGACAGTTGAGTTATGCTGCCGCAGTGATAAAGGTCCAACAGGCGTAACCTACTTCCCTGCCACCCGTCATCCTCATCAAACTTCATTGAAGCTAACGTGATCACTGAAACATCTCCTATCAAAGGACAATGCCGCACCCTAAGCTCAAATATAGGGACCCGGCTCTTCACAATTGAAAGTATTCCGGCATCAGAGAAGTTGGGAATGTTTGACAAGTCTAGTTCTTTCAGGCCCTGGTTTGAAGACCCTTCGAAGAGAAAATAAATACATTTGTCCGTCAACCTCTTGCATCCTCGCAGAGACAGCGAGACAAGAGAACTCTGCACACCTTTTGATAAGTGGGAAATTCCCGTATCACTTATATCTGAGCCATCTATAAGCAAAACTTTCAGCTTTGAAAGTGAACCAATGGATTTAAGCGCTTCATCCCCGAGATTTTTACACTCCCTTAGGTCAAGCACACTAAGGTTTGTGTTGGATGCCAATAGTGAAGCAACACAGTTCGTCAAAAGATTACACCACCTTAAACTTACCCCAGTCAGAGTTAAGGAAGTTGCGCCAATGTCATGAAACACAAGATCAGTCAACAGTGGTCCATGTGACACACGAAACTTTAATAAATTAGCACATGAGTGTAAAACTGTCTTGAAGCCTGTATCTGTGACTTGACAGAAACCACCCAGACAGATACTTTCCATGCTTGAGCACCTGTCAGCCATGAGAAGGAATCCCAGATCATTAACTCTCCTGAAGTATGCAGGGAAAATGTCATGGCTTCTTATCAAGGAGAGGTGCTTTAGTTTTCCGTGTGGGTTTATCTGTTGAAGTCCTGCATTTGTAAGATCGAACGCCACTCGTGGTTCCATGATTGGTGAATCTCGAAGGTCCAAATAGGTCAATGAATAGAGATTTCTAAATATTGTACTGATCATAGTATCAGTAATATAGTCCACTGAAAGGCTTAGCTTCTGTATTCCAGGCAACACAGGCGGTTGGATATGGTCAAGTGACTGCTGTGGAACCATGGGAGGACTAAGCAGTTCAATCAGCATGACTGATGAAATGTATCCAACTTCCAGTGAAGAAAGCGTGGCGGGGGCCAGAGCCCACACACGAGCAAAATCGTGACGCAAGAATATAGAAACATCAAACATCAGGACCAATGTCTACAAAAATAAAATGCCATGGTAAGAAATTCTGAAATTACGAAAAAAAGCATCATATTCCTACATGCACACGAAACTGCTGCTCAGGACACCTAGATTGTGCCTGTGGAGGTAAATTCAGCTTTTGGAACTAAAGTATAAGAAAAGGAAAGATACATAGACAAGTAAAACCGACCAGTCTTTCTATCTTTGGACTAATAAAGAAAACTTATAATTCAAAGTAAGAGATATTTGATCACTCTGGTTTGGGTGAAAGACTGGTTGAACCAGATTACGAGCTATTGAGATTATACCAGATCTGCTAAGACTCATCATTTATCTCTTAAAAGGCACATAGACTAATGGTCAATTGAGTTTCAAGAGTGGTCCCTTTTTATGTATTTTCAATTTGTTGCCTGTCAATTTACAATATTGATGAGTTATAAAAGCTAATTTAGCAGCTCCCTTGAAGGATAGTGCACTGGTTTCTATTCCCCATTTACCAGTTTTAAATTAAAAAATGGAATTTTAATAGAGCTTCTGAATTGAGGATTTAAAACAATTTCCTTTGTTGCTAATGATCAGAAAGCATCAGTCTTTTTATATGAACATGTGATTGTTAAGTTGCATTTGTTATGTCAAGAATTTCCCCAAAAAGCATTTTCACAATGTAGTCTTACTTCCAACTGAGTGC